GTATATAAATCAGGATACATACGTCCGTTATAAGTGTATTCATGCGATTATCTCTATGCTTGACGGAAATATTTCAGACAATATTTTAGATGAATGTTGTATGATATTAAGGGACACCATGGATGATCTTGAATTAAATTCTGACTGTTCTTGAATTAACATTGGAGATTGCTGTGAAGGTCATATTCAAATTTTTAATTCTTAAACGTAATTCTATAATTTTTATTGCATATTATTGTAGCTGACGTTCAGGCGTTTTCAAAAAGCTATAAAAATGCTGCTTTTGCATAAACCGTTATCGAAATATACGCATTTAAAATTGATACGTCACCAGCATTAGTGTTACCTGATGTATATATACCATAGGGATATGTGCATTGCTTAGGATTTTGTACATCATGGCATGAGATATTTAATAGGACATTAGAATAGGCCTGTATTTCTTTGACAGTACAATCAATGGAGATATTTATAATTTTTACAAATATTTCTAAGTGAATTTTTAGATAATTTGAAATTGAAAGAAAAAAGAAACACAATATTAACATAATAATGCACCTGCACATTACATCTCAATAGTACAGAAATTAGTTAAATGAAAATTTCAAAATAGATGAATTGGTCCAGTATTATGGTTTTCTGAGAATAGATAAAACAAATAGTTTATCGTACTCCTATTGAGAACACGATTGAATTACAAGAAAGAATAATTAATGTGTGTGCAAAAATAAAATCTATTAAAAAGGATGGAGAGACAGTTCCAAAACTTAGAGAAATATATTTTAATTAATGGAGAATATATTGAAGGATAATCATTTGATTAGTTTGAAACACGTGCATACATGCACACATACAAATTTTTAAAGCTAGCGTAATATATAAAATCCGATTGGGCAATCTTTCATGGTATAGAGCAAGTAATGCTAATGCCGATGTTCGATATCAACTTTAGACATGTGTATTTTAATAATTGTTTATGCAAAAGCAATATTTTTATAGTATTTTAAAAATATCTGAACATCAGCTATAAAAATATACAATAAAAAATATAGGGTTGCGTCTAAAAATTTGAATGTAACTTTCATAGCATTCTCTAATGTTGACTCAACATTGAACAGCTATCACCATGATATGATAGAAATGTTCTAAATAAAAAATTTGTGACAGACTTTGAAAATAGAAGTTTCAGTTTTTAGAACGAGTAGAATATTGTGCGATTTTTATTATGAAGTTACAGAAGTTTCAAGGTTGACGATAGTTGCAATTTAATGATTTTTTTTAATTTTGTAGAATATTTGGGAAATTATTTATAGAAATAAATTTAAAATACAAAATGAGATAAAAAATTTTTTGATAGTAAATTTTATTTGATAGTAAAATAATAAAATAATTTCGAAACCTACAAAAATTATTCCTTATTCAAAAAAAGTAACACAAAATTATTTGTAAATAATCAAGTCACACAAAATGTTAAATTATTTAAATAATTTTTCAAATATTTCATTTCAATAATGCTCAAACTTATTATTATGTAGAGATTCTACTGAGATTCTATTTCGATGTCAATAATGCGACGTTAATTAATATCTGAATTTGTTTGTAATTAACATCTTGGCTGTCAATATCGTAAGTGGTAAAGTTTCGCCGGCAATCAAAGTTTCGAGATTTTCAATTTCCAACAGTACATACACGTTTGGATTCTAGATAGCACATTCAATTAATTTTAATAAAATTATTTGAATTGACTAATTTGTATTTTTTAATTGATTAAATTATCAGTGGTATTTATTTATAACGTATAATGAAAATTAAAATTAACCTTGTATTACTGAAGCATTGTACTAGAGATTAAAAATCAGAAGTGGAATTACAACATTCTTGAACTTCTATTTAATTCAATATTCCTTACAATTTTTTTATCTTTATTCCTTACAATTTTTTTACCTTTTTTACCTTATTTCCTTACCTTTATTATACATTTCCGTGATGAATATAATAGAATAGAATGATTTTCATTAAT